CAGTTTCTTCGAGCAACGTAACTCTACTCAACTTGATCGCAGTTTCACGCGACGGCGCGCAGTATTACCGTGATCACTTTGCAAGATGCACGAAGTTGGCTCTTAAGGCATTTTCTGATAAAATGTTCATACGTGACAGTTTCATTAATTGATTCATTCACTGATAATATAAAGACTTTGAAAAAATAACCTGAGCGAGAAAGAGAGAGAAGGAGAGGGAAAGAGAGAGAGAGAGAGGGGAATAGAATACGGTATAGGGCATAGGAGAGGAGAGAGAGAATAAGAAAAGGAAAGAAAGAGAGCATAGCTAATCAGGAAGAGGAATAGAAGATGAGCAATAGTAAGAAGGTAGAAGGAGATCCAAGAATGGGCGTAGTAAGTTCCTATGACATAGAAGATATAATGAAAAGTCTAACAGCTCTAACAGATAATCTTTGGTATTCAATTGAATTCTTGATTAAAGGTAATGGCATACTTTACCGGTCTTCATCATATAAAGATTTTGAAATTTCGGAAAAAAACGGAAAGTGTATCACAGAAGTAAGAGCACCGGAATTAAGTTAAGATAACTGAGAATAGTATAGGCTTCCCAAGAAGTTATGAGGAGTTGTTTGCTACATTATAATACTTGTAACGTTGTAATAGAGCGATGGAGGCTATGAGAACGACGAACAAGGCGATCTGTAAAACAAGGACATGTATGAAACCTTTGGTCAGTCATGAACTTACACAAACGATTAGAGATAGGGTGATAGCGAATGTGCTCAATGATACACACAGCTCTTCCGATTGAGAGACCTGTGGTTGAGATTCTTCACATTTAGTGAGTTCTACGGGATCCTCTTCTGCGATAGGATCTGTAATAACAATTCGTAGATTCGAATGGAACCTTCTATCTTACCTAGTTCGGAAATTTCTATTCGTTGCGAACGAACCTCCATGACAGCATCTGATTGGATTTCCTTACTTCTTCTGAAAACATGCATATAAGTCAAAAACAGAAAGCTTCCACAAACTTCTTTCTATCATTCTCCGTTTGACAGTTTGGAATCTGACACTGATCGTCTTCGAATGAAGGGATCAAGAGTATTTCGCATTCGAAGTACACCAACGAAGCTGTAGAGACACCAAAGACAGAGACATTTTGTGAAATGTATGTCTGAAATGATGTATTCGTAGATACTACTTAAATGGTTTGCTAATCGTTTGCTGGCAAATTTCCAAAATTTCAAAAAATTTGTTTGTAAGAGACGTGCGTACACGAAATGAGAAAAACAATGTCAAAAACAAATTGATTTTTACATCTTTTGATGTACAACTTCCTTCCTTATATGGAAACTCATAAACTCATTTGCATAATGAGGAACATTCCCTGAGGGCTGCTTTCAGCTTGAAACTTATTCATCAAAATTTCCCTTCTATTGACATTTTCGTTTGAAAATTGACTGTTTTGATGTATACCGACCCTCTAGCATAGCATCTGACCTTACACCTCATTTATGCAAATTTTCCAACTTAAAATCCATTCAGGGCAATCGGATTTTCTTCCAACCATCATCTCCTATAGATGAATAGATGATGGTGTGAAGTGTAAGATTTGCATGCAAAAACTTGATTGAAAACTAAACTTAATTGCCTTAGATTAGCAAAAACGCTTCACACTTGAAATGTTTTTCTTCGTCTTTACCTGATTTCTATAAACCAAGTTTGGTAATATCGTTTGATCTTTCGAACATCCATCTTGTCCTATCAGATTATGTCTGGATTGGCCAGCTACAAGGGCACAGTTGCGTACAATCAAACATGAATCCTTAATTATGTTGATTATAATAATCATTTTATACTTATATGCAGTAGATGACTTACAGTCGCATGATCACATGTCCATTCATGGTAAACGGTTTGCCCCATCGAGACTGTCCCGACAGCTCGACCACCAGGGGATTGTAAGATGTTATATTGGCATCGTGGACCCGCATGTAATTCTATAAGATCGTTTTTTGATCTTCTATACGAATGACATCATCTCATACCTGCTGGAGGTAGTGTAGAGCTTCCACTTTCATTTTTCTGCAGATGGAAGCAATTGAAATGGAATATCTTATCGTTAGATGTAGTAAACTCGCGATGGAACGAAACCGACATAGTTACATCCATTACGACACCACGAGGATTCAAAGATCTTGAAACCAAACATTATCAAGCATACATGAGAGGGCAAGAATAGGATAAAGAGGTAAATACTCAGTACTATGAGTTCAAAGAAGAGAATGAGGCTACTAGCTACTAGAATAGAAAGAACTGACCGTCGTCTTGAGACAGAGCATTCTTCGTGCGGAATCAACAGTTCAATCTGATTATTAGTTACTAAGACCTATAAGAAGCATATAGTTAGTTATATCATATAATTAGATTGAAGCTTACTTGATAACAATACTGATTTGGAGTATACTTGACACTCACGTGTCCATCAAATGTAACATTTGTCTTAAATTTTATGTAAATTGCATCTGCTGCACAGCTGAAAAAAGGATGATCTTGTTGTGCATATGGAGAACTGGTTGTAAGAAGGAGAAGAGGAAGAGCAAATTTGATTTATTTTCAATATGTCACCCTTATATAGTCAAAAGATTTATTCTTTTTCACTAACTATATATTCATGTGTATAGTTAACCACTACTATCTATCAATCTGAACTTCTTTGGAGGAATGAGAAGTATGAAACACACGTATATCTATATCATTTATGCTTTTGACGTCTAAGCACATTGAGTACGCGGTAGTCAAGCCATTCAATTAAACCCGGATTATATTAGAAATCAGCTTAAACTGCTTTAATGCTCTAGTCAACGAGCTTATGCTCATTAGAGAGCTCATTCAGGTATGTCAATAGCATGTTTCAATGCAAAGCATAAAGCAGCGTTTCATTTGAATCAATGCAAAAACTAAGTGAGCGGTCGGTGTTTGTTGTTGATTGGCTCAAAACAATCATTGTTAACATGCTACTAGCTAATCAGCGGTTGTGCTTTCTTATTTTGCAAAAATAAATTTCATTTTCGAACTGGACGGCCGGGCGGTCTATAGTGAGCGGTCATTTCTGAGGAAATGGGAAGTTTCAGATGATTTTCGATATAAATCAGCAAGAATCCTACTTAATGAACCGAGCCTCTCTCAGCCTTCTCACTTTCTCCCTCAGAAACTAATTTTCTTTTTTTTTTTTACAAAGTTGAAAGAAAAAAAGGTATTTGTTACTATCTTTATGAGAAAGTTGCTTTTGCATTCCTCACAAGGAAGACATAGAGATAGAGAGAGAGAGAGAGAGATAGAGAGAGAGAGAGGTAGAGAGGTAGATGCTCTGCATAGGGAGGGAGGGGGAGGCTTATTGAATGTTATTTGAACCTTGTTTTCTTGTAAGACAGAGTGTAAGAAAACAAATCTCAAATTACAGAAAAAAAAAGAAAAAAAAAACGAAAAACGCACCTGACGAATGGCTGGCCGACGACATTGTTCGGCGTTGAATCGTCTTCTTCCAACGAAAAAACACTTTGATTTAATAAAAATAATATAAAATAAATTTGTAGCATTTGGTTGACAAAATAAGAAATCGATTGACGTCGTCTAAGATGAAGAAGCTTCTGAACTGAAATGAAGAGGATTACTTCTGTCACAAACGAAATGATTGAAAGGTAAAAAAATAAAAAAGAAGTAAGAGAAGCAGACACATAGAGAGGGAGAGAGAGAGAGAGATTGGAAAAGGTATAAAGAGAGATACAGAGAGAGAGGAAAGGAGTGTTGATTGAAAATAAAAAAAAACAAAAATAAAAATGAGCTGAATGAGAGATATGCGAAGAAGGTCATATAAGGAAGGCTTGACCTCTTCTAAACTATATAAACTATAATATTTATAAATAAATATCCTCAACATGGTCACCTCCTCCTCCTCCCCCTCACCTCCTTCTTCGCATGGATAGAGGGGGGATGCATGGAGATAGGCAGAGGGCGATAGGAAGGGAGGGAGGTGGAAGAGGAAAAGAAAAAATTGAAATTTTTTTTTTATTCATCTCCCTTAACCAGTTTGAATAAACAAATGCTAAACAATTGAATGAAAAAAAAAGAAATTTCAACTGACATTCTGACCGGAAATGGACGACTCAAAATACGACAACGACGACGAGGACGACGATCGCACATTTCAAATTATATTTGCCCTGAGGCGATAATTGACCAAACGAGTAAGAATTATCCTTGCTTGGAATCTTTTCTTCTAATATAGTTTCGGTTATGTTGGGTCTCATTTGGCTTGTTGTTCCTCCCCCTTTCCAAATTCTTTGGCTCTCTGTCTCTCTCTCTCTCTCTCTCTTCTTCTTTTCTTCTTATCCTCAGCGTTTCTCTCCTACTCTCATTCTCAATATGTAAACCACGCCTTCAAAGATGAAGCTGGCAGAAGAAGATAGTTTTTTGTCTCATCCTCTCTCTCTCTCACTCTCTCTCTCACTATCTCTTTTTAAAAAAAAAAAGTTCTTGTAAATAGTCATTTTAAATGTTCTCATTCTACTCTCTCATACTCTCAATCTCCCTCTATATCTCTCTCTCTTTACATTTTCTCTTTATTTTTGAGTCTTTAACGACTTATAAGAAAAGAATGAACGTCCCACCCTGACCACCCACTGGGTTATTTGGACTTTCAACTCTGTGACTCTCCATCTTCATCCCAAATAACCTCAATATTAGCCTTTTAAGGAACAAAAGCCAAGTGGTCTTATCTATTAAAACCTCTTGATTGAGCTTTGCTTTGTTCAATTTCAATTGAAAATTGACAGTTTTTTTCCTGAAAAAAATTGAAAAATATAAATTCGGACAGATGATGAGTTGATTTGATGGATTTGGAGAGCTGCGCAGACAGAGGAGATACATAGAGAGAGAGAGATAGAGGGAGATGAGGGTTTAGGACATGAGAAGGGAACAGAGATCAAATAAACAATTTTTTTGAAGAAAATTAAGGTATTGGATTGGATTGCATGGCAGAAAAAGCTTGAGAGGAATGGTAAAGTGGTTTAAAGAGAGAGACAGAGAGATAGAGAGATGGGGGATAGAGGGACGAGGGATTTTAGTAATAAACGAATAGAGAGGCTTGATAGAGATTATTTAGAATGTGAGAGAGTTAGAGAGAGAGAGAATGGTTAGTATCTCTAAAGAAGCTAATAAAGAGATGGCGAAAGGAGGGAAAAGTACTTCTTAAGAAAACGAGATTGTTAATAAAGCAAATGTCCTTCTGAAAACTATAAAAGGTCAGATGAAACGGAAAGTTCTCTATATAAGGAGGGAGAAGTTTTAGCTTAAAGCATAAGCTCAGATGTTTGGGGTCATTTCTGAATCGAATTTTTAATGAAATTATGATGATTGCAGGCTTCATATGACCTCACTCTCTTTATCTCTCTGACCATCCCTCGTATTCCGTTACTCATCTGTCTCTCTTTCTCTCATTTCCTCTCCTATACTCTCTCTCTACCATTTTCTCATTATTTTCATAAAAAATTAACGAATGATGGAACAAAAAATTGCGTGAAGGAGAAAGTCTTGAACGAACGTCGAAGAATGGCTTAAGAGAGAGAGAGAAGGAGGCAGAGAGGGACATGCATTTTAAAAACAAATTTGAGATGAATTGGATTCTGTTATGTGACAGAAGACTGAAGGTAATGGGCAAGTTTTAAGATTGTGAACAATGGAAAAGCCAGGTGAGCAGAAGAAGGAAATGAAAAGAGCTTATGAAGACTTTCATTCTCTTTCTCTCTCTCTCTCTCTTTCTCTTTCTTCTTCTTTCGCATCTCTCATCTGATCATTATCTCTTTTACTCATTCTTCTTGCTCCCAGTGCCTTTTGTCTTTACCTCACCCTCTTCGTGAATAGCGAAGAAGACAGCTTTGACATAATTAGCTCACAGTAGATAATCTGGAGTTGGGGAGGAGGAATTGCAACAGCGAAATGAAGAGAAGACAATCTGGTAACAGATGGGAAGGAATATATGCCATCGCACTGCCATATCTGGAGAGCATAAAGAAGACCATGAAATGAGATAGAGAGAATGAGAGAAAGAGAGAAAGGAAAGCAATGGTATTGCTGAGGAAGAGCCTCGTGCATGACGATGGGAATAATTCAGAAGACAAGACAATAGTTCTGAGATGGAAGACGTGAGTAAAGGAAATGTTTAATGTGGACTCAAAGCTTTGGCCATGTTTGGACATTAAGCAAGTGCGGGTATGTAGAAGGAACATTATGGTTCAAACTACTGTTCGATCAAAGGCAAAGATCATAGGGCGAGAACGAAAAAGAGGAAACGTGTTTGTCATTTGAGTCATTCATGCCCCTCAGGGGCATAAGAAACGGAGGAAAAAAGAAGAAAATTTTTTTTCTTGAAGATTCACGGAAGACGTCATCGACTTTCGGAATGTCACCATATACACAAAACGAGATTTTCATCGAACAATGTCCGATCGCAGGATTAAGCCATTGTTGGGAAAATTTCGTTTAAAAGAGGTGCCGAAGAAGAAGAAGAAGAGAGGGAGAGGAGGGAAAACTTGGGCAAATTTGACCTAATTCGATTTAATTACAAAGCAAAAGCTGAGAATTTTGACATTCTCTATGATCGGACAACAAAAAAGAAATTTTGGTGAGGATAGAAGCTTCAGTAGATGATTGTCAAGGGACGATTTGTATCAAAAGTAGTTTATGAAGAGGGAAAAGCTTGGAACTCATAAATTTTGCGTCTTCAACACTCTCACACACACACATACTCACACAGACAGTTGAAACTTGTGTTCCAAGAGGAATGAAGTAAAGATGGGTAACACACACACACACATAGAGAGAGAGAGAGAGAGTAAGAGTGTGTGCGTGTGTGTTGGAGGGGGTCATAGAGAGAGAGAGAGAGAGAGAGAAAGGAGGTTTCGTATTGTTTAAAGCAAAAAGGAATTATTAAAGACCGATCTGAGAAAAAGGATGGACGATCATCGGTGTTGGTTCATTTGGGATGCTCATGAATGCACACATGAAATGCTGAATGAGGTGAGGAGAGGAGAAAGCTTGATCGTGGAGGTCAAGCATTCTCAAACATTTTAATTCCAAGAGGAAGGAATTTCATCAGATGTTGTCAATGGCAGTTTTTGACGTCAGTCAGTCATTTCTATTTATTTTTCCTTTTTTAGCATTTTCAAGTGAAGTATAAAACGATTGAAAGCTCTCATATCCACTAATTAAGAAAGAAATGCCCTCAGGACATATTTGATATGTGTCATTATGCAAAAAGCCTCATTAAGCTTAATGTATTTCAAACCGATTGACTTACTTCTCGTAAAATGATCATTTCATTTCCTTTTTCGGCATTCGGTTTCACACAGAAATTTTGAAAAAATAAAAGAAAAAAAAGAAGAAGAAAAGAAGGAAAAAACCATTTTCTCTCTCACATCTCCTTCACATCTCCTTTCATTCCGCTTTTTTGCATTTCATTCAGTCGTCAGTCTCTCTTATCGTCTTCTCTTCTTACCTCATACTGCCAGTCGTAGTGTCTCTATCATAACCCCCCCTCCTCATCTCTATTCTTATTCATTTCTATACCTACAACAGAATGCCAACCGCTCTAGACGAATATAAAAAAAGAAATAAACTAATGCAAATCACTTGACGCACGTGAAAATATGTTAACTGGTTTTTGGCGCGAAATTTGAATGCAAAATAAAAATGAAAAACGAAGAGAGGAGAGGAGAGGATAGGAGGAGGGAATGAGTACATGAGATGGACGAAGCATAACTGGATTGGACATATTAAAGACCTCATTTATCATAAAGCTTTCACTGAAACTGATAGGAAAAGCTTAATGACAATCATTTGGAAAACATTTGCAGAAAACCTATAGAAGAGAGGGAGAGAGTGAGAGAGTATGTTAAAATGAGAGTGTATCTGATAGATGGTAGAGAAATGAAGAAGGAAATGAGCTTTAAAGGAAAAGTAAAGAAAATTGAAATTTTCCCGAACAATCTGCTTGTCAAATGGAAAGCTTAAAATGAAAGTTTTTTTTGTTATTTTCAAACAAACTTCTTTCCAAACTTTAGTTTTTCATTGAGAAATTTGAATAAAGCCACATGTCCGTGAGATTTGAAGACGAACGACTGCAGATGTTTCTGAGAGTTTTTGAAACACATAGAGGGAGAGAATGAAACATAAAGAGAAATTGAAAGAGAGAGAGAGAGAGAGAGAGAGAGAGAGAGAAAGGGAATAATTAGAATAAAAGGCCAAATCTTATGGTTTGGGAGAGAAGAAGGGGGGAATTTAATAATTGACTGATGAAGATGCGTAAAGTCAACATTGTCAAAACGGTCGGACCATTGCCCAGCAGCGAAAGGTTATGAAGAGAGAGAGATAGAGAGATTCTCTTATAACAGAGAGAGAGAGAGGGGAAGTTCATAATGAGAAGAAATAACAGGTCAAATATTTAATTTGGAAAGATTTGTTACAAATGGAACACGAATTTTAAAGAAAAGAATAACAACATGAGCAAATCAAATAGATTTCCAAAGACAATCATCTTCTTTGAAGAAACGGTTACCTCTGAACGCAACTGGTGAACAAGACTAAACGACTTATCGAGAGAGAGAGAGAGAAGGGAGACATACACTGAGAGAGAGAGATGATGATGATGATGACGAGTTGGAGAAAGAGGTTGTAAGTGAAAAGCTTACGGAATGTGTTGACTGGAATGCAATTCTTTTCGAAAAGATTAAGAGATTTCCTTTTAACAGACAGACACATACACACACACACATGCATACACTCACTCACTCACACACAGTGAACCGAACGTCGCCATGCATGCATGGAAGCGAAAGGAATTCGTTATGGCTGTTAAGGAGAGTTTGCCCTCCGGCGATGGACTGTTCAAATGACGAAATATCTTCACTTTCGCTTCGTCTGATGCTGCCCCTCTTTATCCATTAAATTAGTGATCATTTAAAGTAAAACATCAACGTTTCGATTGAAAAGCGAAATTTCCATAATTGGCAGTCAAAGCTTAAGCGGCAGGTTTTCCTCGCTTAGTCCTCATCATCCATTCTGATATCCATTTCGATGACAACAACATTAAGAACGTTAAAACCATAGCTTTACCATAATTTCGAAATCAAAAAAGGGCGGACAAGACGACGATGACGAATTTGACACAAGAGGACAGTGGGATGAGTAGAACCACTGCGAACATGAAGAGAAAAGGGTCGACAAGGGAAGGGAGAGGGGTGAGATAAGTTCAAAAACGGCTAAATGAAGAGGAAAAGAAAAAATCATTTTGTGAAGAAGACGTTGTGTATGTGATGATGATGATGATGATTCATTCTCTCCTCTTTCCTCACACACAATCCAGTACGATGAAGATATTCCAGTGCAGCCAAAAAAAAAGAAAGAAAGAAGAAGAGGAAGACGATGAAGATGTCTTCAATGGAGAGAATTTACAAAAGAGTTCTGAACAAGTAAACGATGGCAGGCATAGACAACTATCATGCTGATTAACAACTTATAAAACAAACAAAAAAAGATGGAATGTCCAACCCCTACACACAGGCCCCCCAATCCATCCATCCATCCATTCGAAACCAGATTGAAGAAGAAGCTGTTAGCAGTAGTAGCTTAACTGACTTTGCGACAAGTTTTAAATATATGTAAAAGCTTACTAAAGGTCACAAAATCTTAAATGTTTCATTTAATAATGGCTGATTCATTTGTAAAAAGTGTGTAGAGAGCATGAGAAGGAGAGAGAGAGCAGGAGATTCTACTGAGGAGATTGAAATTCAAGAACATCGTTCAACGACCCCCTTCAATCTTCTTTCTCAGTCAGATGACAAAGTAACCAAGACGGCAAGGTAAAAGTTCATCTGAATTCTCTTGGGACGATCGATATAACAAAAAAAATATTTGAAAAAAAAGAAATCTTTTAAGCTCATAAATTATGAATGAAAAAGTGCGGCGGCGCCAGAGGACGTCCGATCTCCCGTGGGCGACATTCCTGGCGCTGACAGGAAGCGATAAAATCAAAAAAATTCCGTTTTTAATCCAGATGACTAAGATGATGCTGTACGATAAGCTTGAATTAGCATTGCTTTGAACAAACTTTTGAAATAAAAATAGAATAAAAAGAAATGGCTGTTGTAGATGATGAAGAAGAAGAAGAAGCTGAAGCAATAGGCTAATTAGATATAAGCTTAAAAGGACAAGTAACAACTATTTGGACCAAGACGATGATTATCTTGTTCCTGCTTAAGCCTACGATTGCCTAAGCTGACAAGCTGAATGACTTAAAAACGAAGAAAAAACAGGTGGAGAGAGGAACAATTGACTGACTGACCCTTTACTATCAATAGAGAGGACGGAAAAACTGGAAAATTATGAAATTTTCTTTCCCATTGACTGTAGTAGGCAAGGAGAGGCTTCATACACACACAGAAACAGGGGAGAAAACTATTTTACAACAGATTTCCACCCTGCCAACAGAATGTTTCTAAGGTATGGAGAGGAGGGGGGGGGGGGGGATATGAGGCAAGGGATGGCAAACAGGAGGAAGAGCGATATGAAAAGACATATTCATAGAGAATAAACAATCGGAGAGAAAGATGTAGGGGAAGGATCACAGAAGGTAAAAACTATGTTAAAAAGGGAAAACTTGAGGATAACATAAAAAGAGTGGCAGGATAGGAAGGAGGTACAATGGCGCATCGAGAGAACTGAAAAGATGGTGAGAAGGTGTGTGAGTGAGAGGTAGATGATGATCATGAGAGATTCAAGAAAAGAGAAAGTCTAGATGGATTAATGAAGACCAGAAGGTAGTTATTAGAAAAAAAATGATCGTCAGGAAGAAAGGATAATCATCAAGACGAAGAAAATACAGTCGAACAATGAGGGAAATGGTATAGAGAGAGGGGGATAGAGAGAGAGAGAGAAAGGAAAAAGTTGTGTTTGGCCACCGTTTCTTAATCTTTACACTCAGTTTTTGCATGTTTTTTTTTGTTCTTCTTTGATTACAAGTAACACATTGAACAAACGAGTTTTCAGTTAACGAAAATATCCAAAAAAAAAAAGTCGACGACGACGTCGAACAAATCCATCCGACGACTTGATCATCATCATCATCATCTACGACACATAGGCAGAAGAAAGGAGAAGAAGAAACACATTGTTCATCATCTCGTGTTTAAACTTAATTTATAACATATAGTTAATGCAGACGATGATGATGATGATGGCTCGGCCAAATCATACAGAATTTTCATTTTGAAACAATCAAAGACCGGCCGTTCCTGTACGGTCAATTTCTCTCCTCATCTCTCAACATACTTACTCTCCTCTGCCTATATTCCTTTTTCTCTACACACTCTATGTTTCTCTTACCTTTTCTTCTCTCTCTCTTATGATTCTGCTTTATTTTCTCTCATAACTGACCATCAGTAATCCGAATGACGAAATTAAATATTTTTCGGTCGTTTAATCAGCTGCTCCAATGCGCCTAGTTTGTCCTTTGCAATTCCATTTTTGTACAAAAACTGATTGAATATTCCTGCATTTCATTTCTTTAAGCTAATTTCAAATTCCTTTCATTTCATTCCTCTCATCCCCTCCATTTCGTTATTCAAATTGTGATTATGTGGGTGGTAGGTTTGTGTGTAGTGATGATAGTGCTCAATCATCATCATGATCAACATCATTCTCACGTGTATACATGTCGCGTGAACGATGATCAACCAGAGCTCTATCTAGACGTGAACGCTGCTCACGTATTAAACTCTGCCTCACGCGCAACAATGCTCACGCATACATATGATTATTCTCACGTGATGGTCGATGCTCACGTACCAAGCGTCATACCGTGAACAGTTGTCATTTCCAAAACGTTTGTCGCATTGACCGGTTGAGTGTTTTTCAAACATTTTTCAAATATTTTCTTATCAAATTTAACCGTTTCTGTTACAGGAAAATTAATTTTTGTTTATCAAATTAGCCAATTACATGTGAACAACCTTCAAAGGAAGTAATCAATTACTATATATGGAAATACAATAAGCTTAGATGATGAAGCTTCTGTCTCTCTCTTACACTCTGTCTGCACAGCCCCCCTCCACCCTACTATCTGATCAGCCTGTGGATGTAGATGACAAACAAAAAAAAAGGAAAGAAAACAACAAGAAAAAATACAAAAACGAAGGAAGAAATCATTTTGTACGAAAAGCAATCCATCCATCACATAGATTACTATGACGAGTATGTTGCTTTTCGGAAACAATTTTCTTTTTTTTTCTTCAAATACCGAAACAAGAAAGAGTGGTGGGGGATACAAAGAGAGAGAAAGAGAGAGAGAGTTAGACAGTCAGATAGAGATACATAATGATGGAAGGAGCAGAAAACTAATTCTCACACGAGATAGGTAAGGATGAATGAGTAACGAATGCGCGAAGGAGCCAGAAAGAGATTTATTAGGAGGAAACTGAAGGAGGAATCGGAGGAAGTTATACAGACGGACGTATAGAGAGGAATTCTGAAAGAGATACAGAACTACGAAGAGAAACAGAGGAAGTTATTATAAAAAGAAAACTATTATAACAAATAATTTATTCCCTGTTAAAGATGATGCTTGAGAGAGAGCGAGAAAGAGAGAGAGAGACAGAAAGAGATGTATAGAGAGAGAGAGAGAGAGAGAGAGAAAAAAGAAATTATTTCCCTCTCTAGTCGTAGTACTAAAAAAAGAAAATATTATATAAAGCCTATAACCGAATTAGAAATAAAACAAAGGATATCCTGCTCCTTTCCGAAAACCTCCAAAGAAACGAAAATGATTATGGGGCATATGACCGTATTGCAAATCACACACACAATATCCTTAACTATACATATAGATTGAGCTGTTTAACTATGAATCAGTAATTATCACAAACATATCCCCGTCTTGAAGGCGAAACAAAAAAAAGGCAAAAAAGCGTTTTCACATGAATACATGATAGATGAAGACGACGTCGATGTTGCTGATGATGATTCGAGGTCAGTCAACTACTTCTTCTTTCTCAAATCGGCAATACGGTGCTTGGAGATCGGGTGATGAAACGTGTGAAAAAGCCGGTGATGAAACGAAGTCCATACTCGCCTCCGGGCACATATGAAAGAACAAACCTGAAAAGAGAAATGTTTTTATTATTTTCGTTTCTTCTGACCGCACACTAATTATTTGTGGATATTCAGGTGAAGACAGCACATGTAGCGTCTCAAGTTCACATCTGTTAGGTTCTCTCATCTCACTTTCTCTCTCTATCTCATATCCCTATCACCACAACCTCTTTCTCTCTCTCTCTCATTCTCAATCTCTGTTATGTCTCTGTTTCTTTAAGATTATTTCATTTGATAATATCTTGTAAGCTCAGAAATGAAATTGTCGCTAAGATCATCATCCGACATAAAAAGGAACAGATGACACAACAAAAGCTTCACTCCCTCCCAATCTTTCATTTCATCGTCATTCTCTCTCTCTCTATATCTTTAACTCTTCATTCTCTCTCTATTCTCAATACTCTCTTCTTGTCTGCTTTCATAATTCATGTGAAACAAGACAGAAATCAATCGAATAACAACCATTTGACCACAATATATCATTTGAGTTTCAACCAAGCTTCTAGTTCGTAACCAGATATCAGCTGATTGACCGAAACATTTGTTTTTTCCTATTCCTTTTCCTTCTCCCTTTTCATTCTCTTTTTAAAACATTTTCTTTTTTGTTTCCAAAAATAATAAATGTTCAAACGTCTCATCTAGCAGTAGCAGTAGCAGGAGAAGGAGAACGAGTAGGAGGAGAAGGCTATACTAGCTCAGCACAGCTCAGCTCTCGCTTCTGTGGCCCTGCCTTCTTCTCCTGCCCACTGCTCTCCCTCTCTCTCTCTCTCTCTCTTTCTCTCTTTTAAAATCAAAAATCTTTTTTTTCTTTTTTTTTTCTCATTCCAACAAAAAATTTCCAAAATTTTAGTTTTTCAAATACAAAAGTTGTTTGTTTCGCCATCGGGCAAATTAATGGAAGCTTACACGCCTTATTTCCGCTTCTCAAACAGCAAATTGCAAGAAAACCAAATAAAAAAAAGATTTTAAATGAGTTTGAATTCTTAATTCACAGCTCGTGATGAGCATCTCTCTCTCTTCTATCTCCCTCTCTCCCTCTCTCTCTCTGTCTATAAAGAGGGAAAGAGAGAGAGAGAGATATCCTTCATCATCCACCCCCTATTTCATTAATCAAAAAACCGATGCAAATAATCGAACATATGCCATCATCATGCAAATCACTCACCAAACAAGTGAAAATCCTTCAAAGATCGCCGCTATCAATGTAAAAACCGTACTTTGAAGCTGAAAATATGTAAATTATTATATTAAAACTCATTGAAATAATTATAAAAATGAAGTTTCATTGGGTAACTATACAACTCCTACTCTCTCCCGTACTACTACGACCATCATCACTACTACTCTTGCTCACTCTCACCCATGTTATGTTCGTCTTTAACACTATCTCTCTATTTCTCTCGTTCTCTCACTCTCTCTCTCTATATATCACACATACATACAGTCTCTATCACGTGTGCACATTCACACACGTCATATACGTAATATGCTAATTAAAGCAATTAAATCTTGACAATTTATATTTGTTTCTAATTGTCTTTGCTATCGACAAATACAATTTTCATCATTTTCATCGTTCAATAGTCCACGTAGAGTTCGTCACGTTCAATAATTTGCATATTGAAGATAAAGAGAGAGAGAGGTATAAAACCAAAAGCTTCTTTCATCTTATACGCCACGGAAAAAAAAAACACTACCGGGTTAATATGCAAATGAGCTATGAATATCTGTGACAGGCGTCATTTATCATTTAAATTTTCGCACAAAACAGTTGCATTTCAAAGAGGACGACGAAAACGAAGTAACAAGACGAGGTGTTGGCCAAACATCAACCGTTAACAGGTATAACTATATGATATGGCTAACATTATATGTCTACAAATGTCTATATACAACTTATTTTTAAGCTTTTGCTATACAACTAACAACTGCTTAAACTTATTTTGATATCTTCGAGAGTCTCTTCTTGATCTCTCTCTCTCTTCCTCTCTCTCTGTGTGCTTCTCAATGATATCTTAACAGTTAGTATGATGGAGAGTAGTAATCCATCTATATGAGACACACACACACAAAGAGAGAGAGAGAAAGGATAGAAAGACTGCAAGTCTTCCATTTTTTGAAGCTTATCATCATCATCATTGAATTCAAGTCCAATGGATGGTTGCCTCTGAGATTGTTTTAATGATCTTCAGCTTTACTCATAGTCAATCCCTTTTTCTCAACATCACAACTTCCACTTGTTATTATGTGAGCTTCTGATGACAAGCTTTTGCTCATTGGCTTCTTCTTCACAAAGGACAATTCGTTACAGAACTTCAGTCATCATGCTCCTTCTCACACATGTTTCCCCTCTGTCCGTCCGGGACAAACCCTCTCTCATCTCTCATCACTCTCTATCATTTGAGTACTCTCTCCTTGTAGAAAAACTGACATAAATCGCAAAAAAAAAAACGTCAACGAACATCTTCTAAGCGAAGCACTTTCATCAGATTGTTTTACATTACAAAGACTGTTGTTCGAACTTTTCCCTCTCAGAAATTAGACTTTCATCAATTGCCCTCAGGCTATTGAAGGAGTAAATGACAAAAGGTGCCTCAAAATACCTTCTTTCATATCTCAACTTTCAAAGAGATTAAAAAGAGCTATAGAGAGAGAGAGAAATGAGAGAGAGAGAGATGAGTCGAAACAAAAAGGGAGAAAGGGAAGGATGGGCAAAAGCTATAACTCTCGTGACGTTCTGACGTGTGCTTTCTTCTTCTTCTACACACAGCTGTAGGCTTTATTCTCAAAAATCTTTTATGTCCATCCCTTCGTTCAGTCTCGCTCCCTCCCTCGTTGCCTCTCTTTCAAAATCTCACTTTTCTCTTTTTTAATGTCCTTCATTCCATGTGAACATTATTTGAGAGAATCTATCTTTCTTCTCCCGTGAAGACCCTATTGGCCAGCGTCAGTTGCGCTTTCATCTGAGCTTTTCAAAAGTGGGCGGAGACTAGAGATACTCTCTCTCGCCATTTTCTTTTCTTGTCACTGTCATTTCAGTGAGCTTTTCCTTCACTGCTTGTTGTTATTCTTAATAAAGAATAAAAAAGTTATCAAATAAAGAATAATTCAATTCTGACATTTGAATATCAGTCTATGGCCCTCCCTCACTCTCTCTCTATCTCTATTTCTAGCTCTCTCTTAGTTCAGTTCCTTCCTGCTTCATCTCTTATGCTTCTCACTTCTGTTTTCTTTGTGATTGTCGAATAAGCTCACGTGTTTCATCTAACCCAATAATCAAATAAGGAATTTGCTAATGATAGGCTTCTATTTTTCACTTCTTCTCGCCTTGCCCCTGCTCCACCATTCAACCCGAACATACTCCACCCCATTTGCTTTGTCAGCCTCTTTTTCTTTTTTTTTTGGAGGTGAACGAAGGAACAAGGAAAAGCTAAGCTTGTCCTCAACGTTTCTGCTGTCACAACACTGTCCTACTTGTCAATCTAAGTTCTGTTGAAAACCATTTTTAACATGTGGCTCTTTTTTTGTTCTTTTACGATATTACAAACAAGTGAATAAAAGAAGAAAAACGACCTCATGTAATCTCCCCATGGAATGTCAAAAAGCTTAACTGACCCACACAGCTTTTATGTATTGGTTGAGCTTTTGCTCGTCTAGAAGAACCCCTCTCAGAGAGCTTTTTCATTTACTTTACTTCTTCATCTTCATCTTATTCTTCTTGTTCGTCTTCGTTTCTTTTTTGCTTGTTCATCGTTTTACTACGAGAATAAGAAAAAGACCTTACTAAAGTATGAGTGAGAGGGAGGGAAAGAGATTGAGAGAGAGAGTAAGAGAGAGAGAGATAGAGAGAGAAAGATAGAGAGAGAATGAAAACAATAATTTTTTTTTCGTTTCAGAAGCCAGTCAGTCTCCGATTTCGCAAACCATGTCTGATCCTCGTCGTGTTTCGTTATTTAACCGTTGGCAACAAAAACAGACATCTGTTGTGACTGGTTTGGAGGGAATTAGCGAGGAAGAAATAATTGAATACAAAGAAGCTTTCCGACTATTTGATAAGGTTAATTTACAACTTTTTTCTGTTCTCGCCCATTCTGTCTCTATGTTGCTCCCATCACATCATCATCGTCTCTCTCTGTACAAGAATGGCTGGCATGTGCGTCATCGAACACTCACACTCATGCAGAGAGAGAGTTTGGCATGGCGCGAGAGAATTAAAAAACACATTTTTTTGGTGCTTCCATGCATCCTTATCTTGATCATCTCTCGTTCCTTCTCAACACCCTCACTTAATTAGAAACTTGTGAAGATGCGAATAAGGAAGAGGAATCTCTTCCTCTCTCTCAACTTTCGACATTACAAAATCAATCAGAAAAACGTTCAGAGGTTTTTTGCTTCCTCCTACATACACCCATAGACACAGAGAGAGAGAGAGAGACACACACACATACTCTGTTTCGATCATTGTGCTAGAGCATATAAACGAAACAAAAAAAGCTCAAAGATTTCCAATTAAATTTTTCCCCCTCGATTCGTCATAAAAGGCTCCCAAAAACATTGGTCGATCATTTGCTTATAAGGCTTTGGCACTCAGTCTGTCGATGGGTGTATGCAGATGCGCATGTGAGGGAGCAAGTGAGAAGACGACGTGTATATGTTCCGATGGCATCATCTCCAAATGATAAAATTCGTTGTTTGGAAGGGAGAGAGAGAGAGGGAGAGAAAGATCCTTTTAATCTTCTTTTCCTTTCAAACATTTTTATAATTTGCTTTGAATAACAAAACATCAAAGAAGGAAACACGCGATTTTCTTTCAGAGAATGCTTTCTCTGATACTTTATGATGTGAAAAGTCATTAAGCTGGTACGAAAGTTGCAAAAAGCTGTTGAATGAGGGCAGAAGCTGAGAAGGAAGAAGAGAGAGAGAGAGTGTGTGTGTGTGTGTCAAGTAATGCCTTAGGTAACCATGGAAAGTATACGGAGAGACAGAGATGACGAAACCGATGATTCTGAGGAGCAAAAAGTCTTTGAAACTTTAAAAAAGCTTCATTTATCATTCAACATTTTTTCATTTTTTTCTCCTTTCAGGACGGAAACGGTTCCATTTCGTCTAAAGAACTCGGCGTTGCTATGAGATCGCTGGGACAGAATCCTACAGAACAAGAGCTGCTTGATATGGTCAACGAAGTGGACATTGACGGCAGTGGAACTATTGATTTTCCAGAATTTTGTCAAATGATGAAACGGATGAACAAGGTTCATTTCATATTTGGGTTAAAAACAACACAAGAAAACCCATAGCGAGAAGAGTAGTTGCGAGAGTGTGAGGGAGGAGTGAGGGAGAGAGAGTGAGTATCTCGTGGGATTTGTAGCTAAAAGGCCGAGTCCTTTTGAGCATCAGAATGCTGTACTTGGAAGAAGAAAGTGTTGTAATTTTGGAAAATGTCAAATACGAAACGACTCATTAAGGTGAAAGGACAAGAAGCTGAAGATGAGGAATGAAAATGCGAAGAGGGTGAAAATAAGAAAGAGAGAGAGGGAGAGAGAGAGAGAGAAGCTTAAATACATCGCTTACCAGAAGGGGGACAGCAAGGAGAGATAAATGAAAAGAAAGAAAAAACATCTTAGTACATATCTTATCCTCATATTTTCAGGAAAATGACAGCGAAATGATTCGCGAAGCTTTCCGTGTTTTTGATCGAGATGGAAATGGCTATATAACGGCCGAAGAATTTCGATATTTTATGACACACATGGGTGAACAGTACAGTGACCAAGAAGTCGATGAGATCATCGCAGAAGTTGATATTGATGGTGACGGACAGGTTTGTATCTCCTTCTTTACCTTCTGCTCATAACACACTTGTCGTTTGATGCTCGCTTTTGGCACACACAAAAAATCAGAAAACGCTAAATAGATTTGAATCCAATCTAATTAGAGACTTATGGATAGAAGAGGAAGAGCCCGAGCAGCTCTCCTTAGATAATTAAAAGATTCAAAACAATCTCTTTCTCTCTCTCTCTTTCTCTCTCTTCTCTTGCCTGTCCCATAATTTACTCCACCAAGCTAGCAAGAGAGAGAGGAAAGGAGGGAAAGCGAATGATTCCAACAGCAGCTATGTTTGCAGATTTTCTTAAGCAACCTAATTCCAGATCGATTACGAAGAATTCGTCAAAATGATGACAATGCCTTGAACATGTTGATAAAGCTCAAATCAGATCATTCCAATGACTCTTCCGACAACTACTACTACTTCGACTACTATCCTCTATCTCTTCTCTCTCAATGTATATGCATCTTCATGAGAATACTTTCTGGGAAATGGCATCACATTCTCTAATCAGCAGCAGCAGCACCACCCAGAATTAGCTTCCGCTTCCTCACCTGGGCAGAGATTGAAGAATTTTCTTCTCATTGATTTGTTCATTTCTATTGATTCCAAGAATCTCATACTGAATTATGTGAATTCAGTGATAACACGGGCTCATCTCTTAATCTTTGAAAGTTGGAAATTGTAAAAATAGAAAATTAATTATTTCAATAAAATCATTTGTGCCAACAGACAACTTGAACTTAAACGATTCGGGAGAGGAACAACAGATTTTGAATGATTGTTTGTTATGAACAATCCATCGCCCTCCTCTCCCTCTCTCTCTCTCTATGCGTTCATGCTCCACACCAAACATCTTCATGATGAGCTCGTTCAATACGTCAAAAACATTTTTTCTCTTTATTCTCAAAAACTTCTTTAAAGTTTCATCGCAAAAAAATTGGTCAACGGATAAGTGATTGCCATCTTTCAGTTGCACCCTTTGTTTCCCTCGGAACAGATACCCGAAAAGAACTTGTAAATCCGGCTTTTTCTTTCTCCAACACAATACGTCACACAGTAAACAATGTCATGTAACTCATTGGATAGGAAATATCATTCAGCTTACAAGTCATACTCTACCCACACGTTCACACTTCATTTCCATGGTAAGGACTAGTAGTACTACCCTCTCTATCAACGACCAATACTCTTCCGAGTTGCTAACCCATGATACTAAGATAAATGACATCATATGTTCCCTTTTTAAGCTGTTTGCCCTTACAAAACATTCTCTGCCGTCTAGTTGCACGAAAACTGAGGAACTAACCCATAGTGATGAATATAAGGTGGCAAAGAGTGATGACAGGTAACAGACGGTCACCAATCTTCGTTGTGCTGATAAGAGATGTTGAAAGTAAGCATAAGGTCCCAGAAGAAAAGCAAAACTGAAAATGAGAAATTTCTATAAAAAAACATTTTTCTGCTCATCTATGTCACTTTTCTAGCTCGTATGCCAACGAGAAGCACGAGAAATTCTTTGTGTCAAACAAAATGATAATTGACATGCAGCCGTCATAAGATTCTCTCTCGCTCTCTCTCTGACTCACTTTCTTGTCTTTTTTAATGTATTTTAGGGGATTCTATCTAATTCATTTAAAATTTCTTAGCTCGAATGCGCACAACAGCCGAAGGCACACAAGAAGTCAACTAGGATTCATTCCAATATAGTATTGTGAGCATTGGTTTAAAACATTTTGTAAACTTTTTTCAACTTTCAAGTAGTCTCTAGGGGTGAAGTATGAAAGCCAATCACTGAAAACTTTGATGACGCCAGCTGACATATCAAAAAGGACGTAAAAGCCGACAACTTGTTGCTACCATAGTTAGACGAATGTTTCAAAAACAAAATAATACGCTACCTCAAGAAGAGCAATGTACATCCGAGAGTGTTCAACGCCGCAAACTTTCTCGTCTTGAATATGATGACGGGAATGAGAAAGGCAGCCTGTAATGAGATTGTTCGTATGTTCAGCCTATTCGTACAAGTTGGTACTTTAAAAGTTCTTTTTTATCTTAAAAAACCGTTAAAAGGATTACACTTTCAAATAATCAAAGACTGTCAATCATTGTTAAATCGAGGAAACAGCTCAAAGGAATGTGTCACTTGGTTCCATTGGTATGTTACACAAATGAACAAGCAAAGTGAGGGAGGAAGCTAAATTGCCTCTGAATTTCCAAACTTTTGATATTAGACTTACGCTTGTAGTGATAAGTATACATTGAGAAAAACGGATATTTTCATTTTTTTCTCTCAAAATTTCAGTTTCAGGGACCGTTCGTATCGTTTCATTAAACTGTTGTTATAACTCACCGTTGAAAAGCAAAACAAGGCTCCAATCACACACATGAAAAAGGCAAATATGCGTTGAGTACGAGAAAGTCCGAAAATGCTTTCATCGCTAGAGGAAAACCAACCACCAGTGTTTTTCCTGTAACAATAAATGAGATTTACGTTTAATTAGAATATGACGTGCGCGAGTCACGTAGCGTGGTTTCATTTTCATTTTCAGCAGAGACAGAACGGTTGTGTATATATAGAGGTAAGGTATTAAAATCTTTTTCAACGAATATTTATTTCAACTCAGTGTAGTTCTCTGATTTTCATACCTGTTTTTGCCTTGTGGTAACTGTCCATTTGATATTTCCCCCGTTAAAGTTTGAGAGTCCTCTGTTTCGCTTCGAGACAAAAGTGGAATACCACTGAAACTTAGTTCATCGAACCAGAATGATGTGGCTATTACCTGATAGACGAGCTTAACTTACTTCGAAGATCACCAAGGGAACTGAATGATGCTGATCCCAACCCTCCAGTCAACCCACCGGCTTTCTTTTTTTGTTCTGTAATGAAGGCTTCTAAAGCCGACATTAACTCTCTGTAATAGCGTCAGTATAACTAATGAGGACGAATTCGTGAAGATAGTGTGTGTTCAAGAAACTTTAGAAGTGGAGAAGGAAAATATCGATCGAATTGTATTATTTGATACAATCTATTTACTAAATAAATCTACAATTCTCGTAAAAGATCAAATAAGTCTAATGATGAGAATCCCATGAGGTTGTTCCATGCTTGGCGTATTGGTATGCTTCTTCAGCAGCAATCAGAAGAGCAGCAGCTCCTACGCCAACCTTCCATCCAGGTAAAATGAGCTGAAAGTGTAAATCTCAGGAAATTTGAGCTTAATTACAGGAACAGCAATTGATCAATAGAAAAATAAAAGTTTTAAAGAAAATGAAATAAGAATCAAATGAAAATACCTTCTTGAAATGAGCCCACTGTCCAACAACATGAGGATACTTACGATCATACAAGTAAACATAATTTCTAAATTGAAAAAGAAATGAAAAATATGATAAAGAAGAGTTAGACGGACCTGATCCATGGATCTTTCAATCCAAGTTGAGCTAATCTCTTCTCATGTGCAGCAAGCTGAGGAAATTCCTGGTAATTGTTGTAAATGGAATAGTTGGGGACCTTGAATGGCTCATGATGATGTCCTCCACCCATTATTAACCTGAATAAACGTAAAATAGGGGTTCATAATTCAGAGGGAGCAAAAACATTTGAGCAAATGCCACGTGAGAATAAACATATGAAAATAATGTTCAAATAGAGGAAGAACAATCACTGCACACAGAGAGTCATTTTTGATTTCTGTCAAGCCTTCATAACTGAGTAATAATAATTTCCTTTTACATTCATAATAATCATATGAGTAATGTGTAATAATAACACTTTTAAAACAAAAATTAAACTTTGTAAATTATGAGAAAAAATGTTGAAAAACGAGACGTCGCTCGAAATATAGTCCCGTAGCGATTGAACAACGAGTACGTTGCGACTTGGCGATTGACGTCACCACTTGACGAACATCCAGCAACTATTTATTAAGTATTATTATAAAAATTAATTTATTCCATATTTTTTTATAATTTCCAAGTCTTCAAATGGCTTCAAAGAAGAAGATCACCGGCAAGAAGGTTAGTTTTTCATATTTCTCTGTTATTAGTTCACATGTTGGCGTCCTCTTCAGGGAGATGAAGATGAAGCTCAGAATAAAGAACTTCTCGAAGTAGCTAAATTCCTCCGTTTCAACTTGCAAACCAGTTCGACTTTAATGGAAGGAAATGAAGTTTATTATTTCAGTGGTATTTCTTTTCTTTCCACAAAACGAAGGTATAATCGTTTTGCTCTTACAGGAAATAAAGCTGTTGACTTTTTATTGGACTCCAAGTATGGAAATAAAGCAAAGAGCAATCCTCTTTTCACCACCAGGTTTGTTGGAGATCTCTGTTCTAAACTATGTTTTGACATTCAGAAATCAAGTGGTGAATTACTTGGGAAGATTCATTGAAAATCAACTCTTCTTCCGAGCAAAGAAGCTAGTTCCAAAGAAGAAGGATGACAAAAAGCTTAAAGGTTATTACTCTCCCGGAAATACTCATTGTTAATGCTTTTGATATTCAGATGCTGAAAGAATTAAACGATCAGAGGAAACTGCTACTGAGACTGAAAACGAGGAAAAGAAGGTTGAAGAATTCGACGAGGGAAAAGAGTCAAAGGAAACTAAGAAGGCTGATGAAGATAAGAAGAAGAAGAAGAAAGTCAAATTAGAACCACATCCATTGCAAGTAAGTTCTTCAGTTTTCAAACAGTTTTCATCGTTTTCTTTTTTTCCGGCATTTGTTGATGATAAAGATGTCTTCGTTTGGATCTTCGATCCCACTCCATTTTATAAATATGTCATTGGACTTCTTATTGGTAAGCGTTTCAGTTTTGGCTTCGGCTATAAAAATTTGTTATAGTTCTGGGAACTATCGCTGGATGTCTCTTCCCTCTATGGCCAATGTGGCTAAGACAAGGTGTATACTACCTTTCCTTAGTTGGTATTTTCTTGTTCGGAGCAATTGTTGCTTTGGCAGTTTGTAAGTAGTTTCTTCATGCGGTTCACATATTCGTTTCATTTTAGTTAGAACAATTCTGTTCGGCTTGATTTGGCTTGTTACACTAGGACAACATAAACTCTGGGTGTTCCCCAACTTAACTGAGGTATGTCATTACGTCTGTTTTGATATGTAAATTACTATGCGCGGTCATTCGTGGAAGGGTTATTGCGCGTCTATTTATACAACCGTTCGCGAGCGTCTGTATATGCAACCATTCCTGAGCGTTTGTATATGCAACCATTCCTGAGCGTCTGATTATGCAACCGTTTCTGAACGTCTGTATATGCAACCGCTCGTGCGCTTAACACAAAATGAAATGAAGGTTGCAATAGAGCTTTATATTTTCCACGTAAAGTCACGTGAAAAATTATATTTGAATATTTAGGATTGTGGTTTCTTCGAATCTTTCAAGCCGTTCTATACTTATGAGTACTGTCCAAGAACTACGGTTGAGACACATAAAACGGAAGAGGCTAAGAAGACGGAGTAAGAGTAGCATTTGATCAAAAAGGCCTAATTGTTTGTGATTTGCATGAATTCGTATATTAACTATTCTATGAAATGCTTCCATTCCTCTAATCACTATTATTTAAATTATTGGGTACATAATCTATTGCCAAAGGAAAATCATCGGCGGTTTGTAAAAATCGAATTTCATAATTCATAAAAATCTTTTTATTTTCTTTGTTATTATTATAATTAAAAACTAGGTACATTAGAAATTTTGTCGAGTATTCTGGTGAAACTACTTTCATCTGTAAAACCGGTAAAAAAAAAATTGTGAAGCCTGAGATGCTTCATAATGTCTATTCGTCCTCCTCATCGCTGCTATGGAAACTTGGCCGACGACTAGTAGCTGCTGATGGAACTTTTCCTTCGTTTTCATGAATAATCTTCTCAAGATCTGGATGTAATTTTTCCAGAGCCATTTTACGGCATGCTCTGAAGCAGATGTTGAGTAGAGGATAGCCAAGAAATGCATACCGGTAAAAGCTTCCCAAACTGTTCCAATCGAGCAAGGCACTCAAGCTTTCTGTTCCGTTTCGGAGCAAGATACGTTGCCTACGGGATAAACCACAGAAATCATACCTCAAACACCTAACTTAAAGAAGAAACAGCGGCTTGAGCTTACATAATCTGAGTAAGTTGTTGTACTGAATCCTCAACTCCTTGGAATCGCCTGTTTACGACATAGATTCCATACTCTTCGCAGTTTTTGACATGCTCCTGAGAGAGATATACGTTGATGCGTTTGCAAAGGGCAATATACCTCCATAAAGCAACCAAATCCAGAAAGATTTGTTGACACTGATGGAATTCCCATGACAGTACACTCAGCGGGGGTGTATCTTCAAAAGTTGACATGTAATGTTATCTCTTCTGTGAACTTCCTACCCCCATGGTTCATAATAAGAAGGGAAAACACCCAAATGGCATCCACGAACGAAATCTTCATAATCCAATCCGATTAAGGGAGAAACCGATGATAAAAATTCAGGATGGAAAACAACCTTAACACGGTCGAACTTATCATTCAACATTTGGCACCGTCGTAGGGCATCCAAAACCTAGAAACCAGCTTTCTAACAATACTAAACGCCGAAATACTAACCAAATCGTTTCCGTTCAGCATATTGTGAGTGCAGATTGGAGGTAACTCGTGTTTCTCGCTTGCCATGATACATCTCTTGAGCTGCAAAAGATGTGAAGAGTTAGAAGCCTTGGAAGAGCTCAAAAACCATAATCTTTTCTGGAGGGCTCAACAGCTCTTGACCATCTGGGAGTCTGCCTTGTAAACAAGCATCAAAAATACGTTGTCCTACATTCTCCTAAAAATACTTTTCGTTTCAAGCCTCGAAGTTCAATTGAAGACCTTAATGCGATCAACAGCTTCTTTCAATTGCTTTGTAACTGCTTGACCACGTAAAGATTCGACGTTGAAAGAATTTGAGGGAGCTGAATCGAGAATTACGTATGGAATTTATATCTCAAAGAGAACCTGGATAAATGAGAAAAGCAACAACAGTTGTTCCTGCGTGTCGTGGATCATCACTTGTTTTCAAATAATGGTTTAAGCGAGCAAGTGATTCGATGAAGAGATCTCCTCCTTTGTTTGAGAATTCATATCTGGAATTCAACTTCATCGTATTCACTGGGAATACAGAAAGGAAGTCATCACCTTCCGGCAGTGAAGAAATAGAGAGTCTTGTCTAAATCGAAGTCTAAATGACCATGGAAATGTCCTCGAATGAAGTTGTGAATCTTTTCCTTGGCCATTGAGTGCAGGTTCTATAAGATTCAAGCAATTGATTCTCTCTCATCCTGCGGAAACATACTTGGAACTCGTGAATGGCAGCAAACTTGACGACATTCAATCCGTTTGGAGTGAGAACGTCTGGTTTGCGAAGAAGTAAATGTTCAGCTTCAACTCCAGTAATTTCAGAAACGGTGGTGAAGATGTGAGCAGAATGGCATGCCGCTCGTTCAAGACAGTATTGATGATAAATCTGTCTCCAAATTAGGAAATCATTGCCAGGCAACAGCTTACTCTTCGCTTTCCGGCTTCAGCATCCAAATCAAACTTTCCCAAATTGTTGTAGAGATCACAGCCTCCAGCACATAAATGTCTTCCTAATAAGGTGGCATGAGTAGTATAAACAGTAGCGATATCTAGTTTCCACAATCTTGTCATCAACAGTCCAACACCTTGAAAAGATATTTAACACACAAAGACAAGAGAGCAGTTACCAGCTTGCCATTCGTGGAAGTGAGCAACGACGAGAGGTTGATAAGCATTTACAGACTCTCGGAAATGACGGAGGAAGATGGCGACCATGAATCCAAGAATAACGGCATCGTTCGACTCCATATCTTCATATGGAATTCCAACTTTGCATCTTAAAAAATAGTATATATTGTTTTAACACTCCTATCAGAACTACTTCTCGAACAGCTCCTGCTTCCACTCATTCATCTTTGAAGCTCCTGAGCCCAAGTCGAACAGAATGACTTTAGGGTATCCTTCAATAAGCCATCTACCATAGGTACACTGAAAGAATGTGATAAGACATGTATTTCCAAGCTTCTCCCACATGGAATCCATCGCGATGGAAAAGCTTCATCGCTTGACGAATCGTTCTAAGAAATGGGCTTGATCAAGGAATTCTCTTATCACAACCAACCTATTTTCGGGTTCAATTTGTTCAACTTCTAATCTCCATCGATCATCTTTCATTGGGCCAAACATACAATATTGATCTCCTTAAAAGGCTTTCTCCGTTACTATCATCTCATTTCCACTTCTGTTTACCTAATTCTTCAGTACTGACTTGAGCTTTTGATCTTAATACAGTGTAAATGCCTCCAACCTTGTTAGCCACCTCCCAGGCGGTTTCGAATACAAAGCGACCTTCTTCTCTGGCAGATTTACCTCCGTCCATAGGGAGGATCTGTTTGTTTATTTTTGTTTATAAATATGACATCAACAAACGATTACCTGACTCTCGTCCAGATCTTCACCAGCCAAAGTGAGAGCCACTTTGGTGGAGGACAAATTCCTTGGCATACCAGGATGAGAAGTCATCTGTACAAATTGAAATCGTAAGTCGAGAAAGGACTTTGAAAGTTTAAAGAATAAAAAAGAAATCAAAACAAATATATTTTCATTGATAAAAAAAGAAGAGAAAGTTAGAAGCTAGAAGGCTTGACAAAAAATGTTCGTCTAGTCACGTCGGCTGTTCATCCAAAACTCCGGGGGCTCTCGCTCTTTCACTCTCTCACTACTTATCGATTGTAAGGAGAATGATGGAAGGGGGGGGATAAACTATGTAACGCAAAAAAGAGATGCTGTCCTCATCACCTTCATGCGCAACAAAAAAAAGAAGAAAAGAGCAAAACGAAAAACAAATCTGAGAAAAAGGAGAGAGAGAGAGAGAGAGAGCGAGAGAGAGATAGTTAGAGAAATAGCAAAAACGCCATTTGAATCAGTTCAAACAATAAAATGAACTTGGCCATTTCCATATCAGAACAGTCTCCCCCCACCAATAATAAACAGTTTCTTATCACACACGAGGCTATTACACAAAAAGCAAAAAAGAGAAGAATATAATTGGAAATAAGGAGAAAAAGAGATAACAAAACGGCTACTGAGAAATTAGGAATAGCACATCAAGAGACAGAAGAATAAAAATGGCCAACAACCTCCAGGTGCTATGGCATGATTTTTTGCCCCGAACATCAAAGTACAAAAAGAGAATAAGGCAACTGTTCATTTGCTCATTCAAAACAAAACAATTTGTTGTGTTAGTACAAATATTTATCAATATCAATAGATGATCATCATCATTCCTGAGGTTTATATTCCTTTGCTTTCTTCAGTAGGTCACGATTATCCCAGATGATGGTGCCGTTCAGGCTTTCATCCAATGAGCCAGCAACCATTGCCTTCAACCATTTAGTTCATTCACTCGTATACTCTCATTTTCTTACTTTAGCTACATTTTCCGTTGAGATAGCAAATCGATCGGATATGTACTGCATTGGTGTCAGTACAATCTTTGCCAAACTTTCAAAAAAGCGACTTTCTAAAGTTCAAATATCAAATCTTAACAGCATAAGCTCTGCACGCAACCTTTTCTCTCTCCCAGCAACAGCCCTGGGCGGGTAATCAAAAGTTTACGGAAGTTTAACGCTTTTGTTTCATCTTCCACTTGGCCCTTAAATGGAGAAGAGTGAAAGCCAAAAAAAATGAAGAGATACTTTCGTTTTCATGTACAAGAATGAAGAATTGGCGTCTGCACCTCCTGAAGAGACCAACACAAAGTCTTTGACTCCTGAAAAAAAAATCATTTTCGAACCCATTATTCTTTGCATGACATACCGGCCGACTTGGCCAAGTTAGCAGAGTTCATGATATAATCATGATCAACCTTGTAGAAGCCGTCCTATCATTAATACAACTATAGAGAAATGATAGTCAACACAACTCACAGCTCCTGACTTGCTACGAGTTGTTCCCAAAGCACAAAAGCCAACATCAACATTATCAATTTTAGATTGATGTTCTTCCATTTTCTCAAAATCAACAACATGTTGTTCCTGGAAAAAGTTAATAATGAAATTGATGATGCTTGGTGTTGTTTTCAATTGAAAGTTAAGCGATCAACCGATCCCTGAACTTAGCATGAAAGAACTCGTTTTCATTTTCGATTTGCAGACAAGGGGATACGGTTGTGCATAAATAATAAAAAAGAAATATATGGGAATCAATTGGATCTTTTTCAATTTCCCTTTAAGTAATTTGTTATCATTGAAGTCATTAAAAACTCTTATAAACCCAAACATACAATTTTATTGCTTTCAGGTACTTCTTCGGCTACTCGTCGACCAAGCAATATGATTTTGGTGTATTCTGGAGTTGCAACCAGGGCTTCAACAAGCTTCCTGCCCACAGCACCAGTACCACCGACTACGAAAGCCGACTTTCCACTTGCAGACATTCTGTAATAGTATCTTCATGTAATTCTTCATTTATGATCGTCAGCAAACAAAAGACGAAAAAGCGAGAAAGAAGAACATTCATTGAAATGGGATGAGAGATCATGAAAAACGCTCGATAATATTCAGAAATACATCGTTTATAGTTCGCTCATTATGAGCTGACCACTCGATCTCTTGATTCGCTGGACGATTGAGCAGTTCTGAACTCCTAACAATAAACAAGAGCTCTAAGTCTCGTTGTAGGTTTCGTCGCAGAGTCGTGTCTTTAACGAAAAATACAACTTTGAACGATTTGAACTCTTTTTCAACTTCAATACGAATTGGATGAGAAGTTTGGAACAAATCGATTGAACCATTAGCTACGGATTGATCAGCGTTCAGATTCGACCAAGGTGTACCAACTCCAAATACAAAGTTCAAAAAATGCACAGGCTGTACCACATCCGGACATCCACTCAATAAATTCAAGAGGGAAGTTGGGATGATATGGGAGAAAGACTGGAATGGAAAGAAAAAAGTCAGAATGTAGAAAAGAACTCACTCCAAACGAATTCTTCTTGTCAATGTTGTCATCAGAGACATACTTCAGAAAGTTAAGATGAGTTATCACCTCACGATCCAGTGAAATCCTCAAAATACGAGAAGAATTGAAGAGATTGAATTTTCTGAATCATCAGTGGTCAGGCAGTATTTTGAAAATGACGAACCTTATGAGTTTACTCCGTACTAGAATAGGCATTTCGACAGACTTCTTCTCAAGAAACAGTTCGAAACATCTTGTCTGATTGGGCTCCAAGTAAGACAACTCGAGTGTATGGCTCAAAGCGACTCCTTTTTTGTCTGCGAATCAGTTTTCAAAAGATAAGACTAAGGAACTTGCCTAAGCATTCGAAAGTCACAATTAGAAACCAATCCGATAAAGCTTTAATGCTGTTGTTCTTCAAATGGAGAACAAAAATGAACGACTCACTGGATAAGCATTGAACCTGAATATAGGAGTTTTAATTTTCTTTTCCATTAGAGCACCTGATAGTGAGAACTTATAACAGCATCATCGTTCATCCTTGAGCTGGAGCAACCTTCCATCTTGACACGAAGCTCAAGAGCGAATTTGAGCTTTAGAACAATTTGTAAGCATTCGAAAAAGCTCAAGCACACCTGACCAGCCAGTTCATCAACTTCATTCATTTCCTCTTGGAGTCTCTGATATTGCTCGCTACCGTCTTCAAAAGTAAAAGCCTGCATATTCGTGGAGGGTTTATTCATGCCGCTTGTAGCAGGGCTAGCTGTAAGAGCTCAGCTACAAGATTGAGATTCGATTAGAGCAGTACCTGATACATAATCCATTTCAAAATCATCATCAAAAGATAGGTCCGATAGGGACATGACTGAAAGTGGATGTTGCGTATAAGGAAATGGACAAGGAGATAGGTATGGGAAGGTAGCCCCATGTATAGATCGAAGGACACATTTCTTAATAAGTCAGCTTAATTACAAAGACAGTTTATTGAAAAACTTCGTAAGCGAAATATCATCGGAATTCAAATTTTGGAGGTTTTTTATCACATTTTGTACCCGGCGTTCGTAAGTCCCGCTCTTCATGACACGTTTTAACAAGTTAAGAACCATTTTCACTACCTGGAACAGAATGACAACTTATGATTGAGGAGTATATTTAACGAACCTTATTATTCAACTCAAAATTATCAACTACAAATTCGACTAGGGAGATGGAGAACTGAGGTTTCTTCTCATCTTCTTTGTCCAAGATGCTTATGAGAGAGTTCATGGCTTGGCTAACTCTCTCATTCACTAAGGATCTATAGAGAGGTAGGTGTTGCTAGCATGTTAAAAAAACAGAAACACTCACAAATATTGATCAGAAAGCCCATATAAGGTGTCGTTTGCATCGACTCCCACAATCTTCGATTCGGGCGAAGGGTTGAGACAGTTAAGTAAATAGCTCAAGCAGGATAGCCAAGCATCAAATTTAAGAGAAACATCCTTCAGTGCTTTCCTGAACAACGAATCATCTCAGTTAACAGTGAAGAGAAGGAAATCAACTTTTCTATAATTTCTACAAGACTATCGTAGTAGTGCATAGGACTCAGGTCTAGAGGACCACCAACAGAAACGAGGACACATAAGAAGTGTTTCATCTGCTCTAGAAGATGTGAGGTCATAGCCAATCCGCTCATCGTACTAAGAACAGCATTGCAAACCGAATAACACTTCAAAGAATATACACAGCGTATGATTTTGAAGGATACCTGGGGTAAGGAATTAGCCAACAAGCTGATATAGATGGTTCTGATCAGAGCCGTCACGCGGACTTCTTTCTCCTCAATGGAGGCTATCGTGATGAACAAGTTGGCCAAACAAGATCTTAAGATCATTCTTGATTATGAAACGAACAGTTCTAACCTCGAAAAATTAGCCTTCCGTTTATGATCAGGAGAAATCACTTCTACATACATGGTGAAGTCAATCATAAGGAAGACGACATGCTTCAATAGAAAACAATGAGATGAACGAAGTATAATCGAACCTTGATAACTTCTGGTATTTCTCCAAGCTGAGCTCGGGCTCGTATCAACAATGCCATTCCTTTCTCGACCTCCTCCGTATAACAAACTCGATCAAGGGTCGAGCATATAAGGTTTGTTAAGTAGCGAATCTGTAATGCACGCGGTTAATGTCTTTGAATGTTAATCACCTCGTCATCGTCTGTATCTGGGCTTATACTATCACATAGTATGCGGCACTCTTCTAACACCTCAAAACATACTATATATGGAGTGCTATAAACAAAATGACTCACAAAGTCTGCTGTGGAAAAATCTTTCAGAGAGCTCTGATTGTTGGAACGAATGAACTCGGTCAGAATAGTTTTGGCACAGTTGGAAGCATGAGGTTCATCTCTAGAGTTGAACTTATATGATGCACTCTTGGGAAGAGAAACCAACCTCACATAATCCAAAACAGTTTGAAAAGCTTCATTCTTAAGGAGTTCATACGAGAACTTTTTACTTGTCACCAAATTTTTAATAATTTCCACTATCAATTTCAGCGTTTTATCGGAGAACTAGAAAACTGGGTTGTAAATCGAATGAACGGCAGACCTCACCCTTCTTTCCCTTTGCAATCGTAGAGACAAGCCATAAGCAACATCACACAAGTCAGCGAAGTCGAAATATCTATAAAAATTAGGATGATTCAAGTTGTAAGAGAACAAGAACCTTCCAACGTATTTGCTCCAAGTCGCATAACCATACACATAGTCGGCACAACTTGGGAACTTCAACAAGACTTTTGTTATCCGCCTATGATCAAATCAGTCAAGTTCAAGAAACATGAGCAGTAACTACAGTAAAACGTCATTCCTGAACAGCTCAGGAGTATCATTGAGCAGAAGCCTTTCACCGAAATTGACAATATCGATCACTGAGGGACTCTTGTATAGGACCTGTAGGTTGCCGAGTATTTTGACGAGAACACTAAGCTTACCAGTTCACAGAATGCAGTAGCCAGGCTTGAGACATACCGAGCAGGCGCTGACTTAATGAAAATTGAAACTAGGAATCGCTTATCATCCTGTGAATGTGAGAAAAGAGATGAGAAAGATAAGAAAAAACCGAGACCATCTTTGCATACTCCCAGAGAGGACCGAGATCATCGATTGATGTAGCATTATACGATACACACTGGATTATCCATTCATAGGCTGGAGATGTTAATTCCGGCTGGAACACCTCATTGCTGAGAGATCTAACGAGAGAACTGACCGAGTATATAGTCGTCTGTTGCATGGAATCGTTCAAAGCTCTCCAATGAATAGACCGATCGGAACTATTGAAGCTCATGGCTATTTTGCAGACATACGCCCTCGCATAGGCTCCCAGCAGAGGCTGTGGAAACTCTATAAAAGGATGTGTTGCTATGCTGTTCTCAGCATATTCCTGAACTTCCTGTCATTGCGCAGAGCCTCATCATATTCTCGTGACAACGATCAGAAGAGTCCAAGAACTTCAGAGAGCAAATGAGAGAAGTTTCAACTGAAAGATTGTATTTGTCTTTGCAATGCTTATTCGACTCTCACCATAGAACCGAGGAATGATCTCTTTGATATCAGCTATTTTACAAAACCAATTCTTAACCATGTCTGTTGCTTTCTCAGGGATGTCTGCTGAGTCGAATTGGTCTACCAACAACGGTTTCCCCATTGCGTTCCTCTCCTTAAACACTTCATGGTTGCTTCTACATTTAGTAATGCTAATCAACCTCGTTGGCTTTGGACAGGATTCGATGATAGACCAGTTTACCAAACAAATCCAGGATATCAGTGACTAGAACCCATTGATTTGGATAAAACTGGCTGTTGACTTGAGACGAAAGCATCCGAGCAACTTCGGTAACAATCTGAGTCAAGTATAATCAGAATGTTTAGTGTTCAAGCATGTTGTACCCGTATAGCTTCTACTCTCTTATTGTTGTCCCACGCAAATATAAGCAATTCTCGAAGCTCATTAACATGACTAACAAACTCTGCTTGCGAGAGCTCTGATATCTTTTTCAAACCCGACATGTCTTCCAGCATTTCCATTCTATAAAACCTGAGTCATACAACTGTCAAAGATGATCAGAGAGAACCTTCTTCGTCTCTTGTCCGATATAGGTGCTCTTGATTTAGAATTACTGAGAAAACTAGAAGTTATTGTCAATTTTTCATTGGTACTGAAGTTTGCAAGGATTTCTGCTCTTTTTGTTCGCCAAGGCTCAAAGTCAGGTAAGTTTATGTCTGAATTAGTTCTTTTCACTTGTTCATGTCGTGCTTAAGATTACCAATTATGACTCTATCTGTTGGTTTACTTTCAAGCGTGTTGTCCAATACAAAACTATTCCTCTTAACTGATACTTTAGACATCAAGACATCCATGTCAACCATTGACCCCGAAGGACCGGACGACACTTCATCCTCAACCGTAACACCTTCAAAGTTTAACTTCAGGATTGTTCTACATATCAAAACCTACCTAATGGATCTATAAACTCCACAACTTCCTCATTCTTTTTACTTTTCGTCTCCTCACTCTTATAATAAGCAGACTTTGGTTGGAGAGGATGATTTAAGACTGATTGGAATTCAACCGAAGGTTGAAGAACAAAATCTTTTTTTTTCAAAATCCAATCAACACTGACGTCTTCATCCATCCAATCAACTAAAAATATTCTTCATTACACTTATTATTTTGTAAAATGAGAAGAAACGATTACTATAAGCTTTTTCTTTTTGCCGTTTGTGTACGCAATTTTGCGAATTCTGCGAAATGAACCTTGCTCTCCTTGCTTGCCCTTCTCTCCTATTAGAGGAGGCTGTGGGACTGTTCCAGGCTGTTGCATTCAAATCTTTAAAGTTATACTGAAATTGATCCATGTAGGTTCGATGAATAATGAGGATATTCACATCACTATGAGGATAGAAGAGAGAATTGCTTTAGAGGAATAGAAGTTCTAGAAAGGAGCTCATGTAGGTATACTAAGAGGTGTTTATACTTTATTGTTGTTTGAAGGCAGATCGCGGCTCTGAACACGCGTGATCTATGTGGATATGACTATTACACGTATGCTCATTAGCATAAAATGCAGGTATGCTCTATATCGTTTTTCATTTCATCAAAACAGTTCTAGAATGCAGCCGACTGAATTTTACTTGAGGATGCAAACATGTCCTCAAACAAAAACTTTCGTGATCCGCAATCCTTCGGCGGAAAATGTTATGATAAAGGTAACAGAGATACTAATAGCATTCACTGGTCTGAGCTTTCTAGATTGCTGTTGATTCGAAATGCTTAGTGCAGTTTGACAAGGACTTCGTGGTAGTAGAGTCACAGAAATTGAAAGAAATACGAATGACTGTCAATGAAGATATGTTGCATCACTTCAAAGTAATTTCATTTCAGCTTCACTGAAGAAGTTTTCTTATTTCCAGAAGAACGTTTCAAACGTTCTGTTCTATATGTTGCCTATGAAGAAAGGATCTGCATCATCTGCCTGGATACAACAGAACAGCTTCTGTAATGATGAACTTGTGTTCAAGCTTCAAATGAAAGTGTCACTTCAAGAGTTTTCTTCGCCCAAGGTGTGTTCTCAAATTGTTCACGTACAGTCTTTCTCTATTCTAGATAATCTTGGATCTCCCTATTTTCTTGGAAGAAAATTCGGACAAACAAAAAGTTTTCGTTGAAAGCAAGTACTTGTATCCTGAAGACGAGGGAAGAGTAATTCGTGAAGATTACATCATTAAATCATGAATTACTGACAAATGAAGACTTTCTCTATTGTCGGTTTATCACACCAGAGGAGAACTATGAGTCATATGTAGAATTAAGTCGGAGTTAGCTTGAGGTGCAGGTCTTATCATCATATCTGATTAAGGATCATTTAATCCGCGTCTTCATCAACAGTGATGTGTCAGGACGGTTACAAAAGATTCTGTGAGTATGTTAAGGTACAATTGTAAAAGATAAAGGTTGATCCATGGCTGATCGTTTCGTCTTATTTAAATTGAAAACTCTTTGATTTTTTTCCGTCGTGTCAAGAGCGGTTGGGTTTCCATCATCTTATTGATTCCGCCATTATGCTTTCAGAAAATTCAATGATATCGTAATTTGTTTTATTTTCCTATATAATTAATCAAAAATTAACATTAAATAACAGGTTACGACAGATTTATCGCTTAAGAAGTTCTCCACGGACATTGCACGTCGAACTCGTACTATTTACGGAACTTTTGACGTAAAGTGCAAGTCGGACTTAAATTATGTACGGTGCACATATTATTGGGGTTTTAGTAACTCAATTCTTTTCGAAGAGGTATTTATTCAAAAATAAAATTATTTTTGCAGAAGACAGGTCCATCTGACTGTAGAATGATGGTGTCAAGCTGTGCTATGAACTTTACTGCAAGTGAAGGTATTTTGAGTTTGTCGTCCGCAACCGAATGTATTGCGTTCGGTTCAGTGGATTTGTCTGTTTCTTTGTGATTTGGTTATCACTTTTACTTTGTTCTCGGTTATCACCGAGGAATTGGTTATAGTGTGTTTAAGAAGAAGGAGTTTAAGCACTAACGTTTATTCAAGCGAAGCACAAAATATTCACAATAAGTATGATCAAAAAAATCGAAAAGGTAAAGTTGATAAACTATTTATTATTTCCAATTTAAAAAAAACGATGAATGGGAAGCGTTTTAATGTTCAGAAAATACCTTTGGGTTCAACAGGAGTGACTGGGCGTGATCGTCTCTCCTCTTCCCAACACAACTCAAATCTTGCTCCGCTCCATTCCTCATCCAACTCGACCACCATGTCTTTGCGATAATATCTAAATGTTCACATTGAGAATTTATTGTGGAAACATTACAAACTCTAGAGCTATATCATCCCTGAATAGTGCTACTGGTACGTCATCTTCCAGTAAAAAAGCTCTTCGCAGCGTTTTTTCTGTTACGGTACCATCCCTTCTAGCTGTAACCTTGATAGTTTTGCCCATTCCTTCCACCACAATATACTTTAAAAAATTATCTACTAGTGATATAAAATGTTATCAAAACGAACCGAGTTCATATTTGATGAGTATTTGCAGAAAGGAGTTGGAAAATAATTTCTCAGAGGAGAGAAGGAATTATAGTAAGTTAACAGCAGTCGCTTTTACGATAAGAGGATTGTAAAGAAATCTTCGACCTGTAACATAAAGAATGAGGATCCATTGTTTGATGTTTAACACAGAAAGACAAGAAAGAGCGGATTCGAAAATTGAAGTTTGTGAAGTGAAGAGTAATTTTTCTGTTTTTCGCCTATCTTGGTCAACTTACAGGTTATCGATTGACTACTTGTGAGTTCTCATGTTATCGATTGGCTGTTCTCTCCTTTTCGTATTTTTCTGCTCCTTTTCAAGTTTTTTTTTGATTTCTGATCACATTACAAGATCTGTAGCCTGTTAGTGTTCGCTCTGTCGTTCGACTGGTAACCATTTGCTTTCATCATTAGTCCGCTTGTTGTATGGAATGTTTCCTCGTTGGATGTTCTTGACTTTATTCAGATTGTTTTCATCTAAGTTTGTTTAGCGTTGAATATTTTTCTCTTTGTTTTGGAGGTTTTGAGGGAGAGATAAGAGATTTTCATTTTTACGCGAAAAACCTAAAGACCCGGCTAACAACATGAGCTCTTTTGCGAATTGTAGATTCGAATCAATGAATGAGCAAACCATATACAGTTGACTATGTTTATTTTTATAAACTTATTTTACTCCTCAGCAGACCCGAAACTTCTTGAAAAGCCATTCTTCTCATTGATTATCACTATCAATCCCGCTTTGTAGTTTGTTGATGTAGTTTGACTGAGTATGATAGCTTCCTCTCTTCCCATTGATTCTGCTGTTTTTCTCCTTGTTTTTTAAAGTTACAGGTTATCGATTGATTACATGTGAGTCCTCTTGTCACCTTTTCGAATGTCTGCTCTCACCTCTCGTGTTTGGATTTCTTCTTCATCACATTTTTTCTGCTTTACTGTGCGCCTAATGATTTGGTTTCGTAGTGGAGCCTCCTACCCGTGCGATTCTTCCAACCGTCTCTCTTTGATCTGAACTTGTTGAACCAATAATCGAACGAGCTAGTGAAGATTCTCTTATTATTTATATTTTTTTTTATCTTCGAATGGTATTAGGCCTATTGAGAAGTTTTCATTTTTAGACAAAAAAAATGAAAGAACCGGTTGCTCTCTTGTTCCAAAGAGTTCAACTGGGTTTCTATGAGCTGGAAGTTTTTAACTTGTTTGTTATTATTTTCATATTCGATCAACATGTCTCCTTCTGCTATCAAATGTCTGAGAAGATTATTCTTTTCCTGCTTTTCGATTTGCTTCTCTGAATTCGGGTTGTATGTGAGAGTAGTGTTTGTCATGCTACATGAGGTTGGCTAGTGGTCTGTTCCTCGCTTGATCTCAGAATTTCCTTGCGAACTTCATTATTATGTTTTTTGTTTTTTGTTTTATGAATCATACAATATATATGTACAACTGCGGTATGATCCCGGACACCTTCTATGTCCCGTTCATCACAAATTTCAATTTTTGAATTTGCTTATTTGCACCCTTTGACTTTCTCCATCATGAGCATGATACGTTTGAGTCGATTGAAAACTAGAAACCTTGTTTGAATTTCATTTTCAGTCAATGGTGCTTTTTTCATAAAACATTTGAATTTTGTTGGTAACCGAAGAGAATATTAGAATTCATGACAGATTTGGCATGTCGGCTAACAACATGTGC